GCTGGGTGACTTTGGGCCAATTGCCGGGAGATGGTGAATTCTAGTCCTGCTTTCGCCATGAAATCCAACTGGGTGACTTGGACCAATTACCAGGAGACTGGGAGTTATTGTCCCACTTTGACCATGAAAACTGGCTGGGTGATTTTGGACCAGTCCCTTTCTATTAGCCGAGCCCCTCACAGGGTTGTTATTGGGGGGAGAGGGGCGAATAGAAGGAAGGAGTATGTTCACCACCTTGAGTTATTTGTAAAGATAATAAAGGTGGGATATAGATAAATCAATAAATTGCTCGGATGCCAAGACTGGCCCAAAACCAGCTTCATAATCACGCCTGGAGGGGGGAAAGGAGGAAAAAAGAATCCGTTTGTCCTGCAGCTGATTATGGCCAAGGCACTTTTTTTCACTTTTTACCTGGACAATCGTCGGATTGTCTCCGGAGCCGATGAGATAGCGGGGATTACTCCAGATGAGTTCTAAGAAAGCACTTTCATCTCCTTTCTCCACGGCTTTCCGAAGCTTTGCAGTCAGATCCTGGGTACGAGGGCTTTTGTAACTGTTGGCCCTTTCTTTACTGACCGTTTCCAGTTCAGGAGAGCACAAACCATCTGTTAAGATATAAATAGCGTCGCGCACTCCTGATGCAATACAGGCTCAAAAAAAAAAATGTGCGTGGACATTCGCAAAAGGCAAACTTCATTTATGCACGCAAAAGATCCGAAATGGCATCCAGTAGCATTGGGTTAATTCGTCACAAGCTACAGAACTTCACAGTGTGAATTTTAAAACTCTAAGGCAGGCCATAAGCCCCCGTAATACGATTAAAGTGTAACTTTGCAATAGCGGTGAATATTTCTAGCTTGGGTGTAGGAGAGCGAACCTTCACACCTAAAAGGTAACATTCAGCATTCTTACTCACTGGCTGAGCCAAGCAACGGCTACAGCCTACTAAGTAGTTCTAATTGCCAACTTCAGCTCTATTAGCTCCTCTTGAGATTCAGAGGATGCTCTTCTCTATAACGTTGCACGTTCATTTTTAAAGCACAGCCCATTTTTAAAGACTGCAATGTTTCTCTGTCATATATATGTGTGTGTATGTGGGTATGTGCATAATGGTTATGGTTTTGTTTGAAAGCTGAATGCAACGAAATTTCATTTTAATGTATGCTGATTAGTGCACATTTAAAGTGACAATAAATAGAATTCCTTATTGGCTTGACTGGACACACTAGGAATTTGTCTCCGGTGCATAAGCTCTCAGTGTACATATGAGCAATAAATCCTGACCCTAGCCATCGTAAAAAATACATTCATCACAAATCGTAAGATACAACACTTAGTGATAGTCATAGGATAACTAAAATAAGCAATCAACATAAATCATACTAGGATACTAAAAACAATATAAATTGTAAGATACAAGCAACAAAGTTATAGTCAAAAGTAGATAAGGAGATAGGTAATAGGAAAGATGAGAATAATAATAATAATACAGCCTTACTAGATAGTTTGACAGTGTTGTGGGAATTAGCTGTTTAGCAGAGTGAGGCATTGGGGGGGGGGGGAATAAAGATTCTATTCTATTCTTTTTAATTATTCTATTATTGTTCTATTCTATTCTTTTAATTATTCTATTCTATTATTATTCTATTCTATTCTTTTAATTATTTTATTATTCTATATTATTCTATTATTCTATTCGGTTCTATTTTATTCTTTTAATTATTCTATTATTATTCTATTTATTTTTTATTTATTTATTATTTGGATTTATATCCCGCCCTTCTCCTCGTAGGACTCAGGGCGGCTGACAATCAATTAAAATACATAAATAACAATACAAATTTAAAATTAATTAAAAGAGATATTTAAATATTGTCAAATTTAAAATATAATTAAAACCCCTCTAAAAATTACCCTAGGCCAGTCCTGCAAGCTGGAATAACCAAGTCTTGAGGGCGCGGCGAAAGGAAGGGAGATCAGGGATGACCCTGATCTCTGGGGGCAGTTCATTCCAGAGGGTGGGAGCTCCCACAGAGAAGGCCCTCCCCCTTGGGGTCGCCAGCCGGCACTGTCTGGCCGACGGCACCTTATTCTATTCATTCTATTCTATTCTATTCTTTTAATTATTCTATCATTGTTCTATTCTGTTTTATTTTAATTATTCTTATTCTATTCTATTCTGTTCTGTTCTATTCTATTCTAAATTATTATCATTCTGTATCATAAAAAGTCGGTGTTTAAACCAGTTTAAAGTCATTTAAAAGCCATTATGGAACACATTTAAGCCTTCCGCTTACCTCTACTGAAGACCGAACAGACTTTGACAGGAGACAGAGAGATGGTAGACTTGTTTGGAGATGGGAAATAATCACATATGCCTTTGGCAAATTTCTCTGCATCTTCTCTGTTTGAGAAAGCTTTAAAACGTGACCCCTTAATCATTTTGACAGCTTGCAAGGCTTCCTTTTTGTCCTCATAGACATGTACCCTTTCTGGGGGGGAAAAAAACCAGCAGTGAAATAAATTCATTTCTGATGAAAAGAGAAGGCAACGCCAAGTCAAGAAATCTGTCCCTCTACTTTTTATCGCAAGTCCCGTTTTAGCTACTTTATGCAATGGTGATTACAGCAGAAAACACTCAGATCAATTCAATCTGCTTTGGTGAATTTTACTTTGGAGGAATAACTACAATACCACATAAATTTGCAAATTTTTTCCAGGGCCTTCCACAAAACCAGTCAACTCTAATCAAAACTGCAAAGAGGTAATTAAATTAAAGCTGAAGGACACACCATCTACATTGGAACACAAGAGCTAAACAGAGTTAAAATCATCTCACTAAGACAATGATGCAAGGCTGGGTTGCTTTTTCATCAGCAAGTCAATTTCATTTCTTGAGAAACTAAACCACCTTTAATTTGCTTAAAATCGTGGGTCCAAGTCAAAGACGACATTAAAAAAAGCGATTGCCCATCAGATTTACAGTATCTGTTTTCATGTTTCCTCTGACACTATTGGTAAGGGATCTGAAAGAATCTGTTGCATCTTCTGGGGCCAATTTCTTACTTTTCTGCTCAAGATTTTATAGTTCAAAACAGGTTATAATTAACAGCTTGACCTTATCTTGTTGGAACAAATCAATATTTAATTCAGAATTGGGAATTTGGCCTGAAGTCCATACATCCACAAGGGTATGTCAGATGGGTAAGAGCCAAGAGTTGGAACGAGATAAAATCTGTCTTTAAAAAAGGCACCAGTCCCTGGGAAAAAATGGGAAAGATGGATCTGGCCTATGGGCTGTCCCTGAATCCAGCAAACTGGAGAATGCCAGTTCTGGATGTAACAAACAACTCAGCTAACAAGAGAAACAAATCTTTGTAATTCCAAAAACAAGGAAAAGGAGGAATGGAGGAAGCTTGCAAGCTCAAGATTTATGCAGGGTCATTTCCTTCCTCTTAAAGTTATACTAAATCATCATTAATATATCCAGCTGATCTCTTTAGTAAATAAACACACGCACACACCAGTATTTTTATACCCCAAATTTTGCACAGGGGGGGGGGGAGAAACATCGGCCACTAACAAACTCAACATCATAATCCACTTTTATTTCCTAGCACAAGAAACGTTAAGCTTTGGATACCGCATCCCCGGGGAAAAAAAAAAGCATCGATCCTTGAAAATGCAGCACCGCTATTTTTATGCCGAGTATTTATTGCTATCACACTAAAATGGTCTCCTTTGACGGCCATTTCTTCTCAAGTAATCCGACCGCTTGGCGCTGCGTGCACATTAAGCGTGGGAAATCAATCTGATCGATGCCCTCCTGCTGAATTTTTCATTTGCTGGCCACGAGAAAGCCATCTATTAAGCCTCGTTGGCGTTTGTCTGGTTCGAGGGAGTCTCAAGACTCTAAAGCAGCGAGCTGTCTGCTCTCACAGTCATGCTGCAGAAATTCAGATATTGCTGGGACGACTGCAAGATCTACCAGCACCAAGCAGCCTGGACAGTTTCAGGGAGAAGCTGTCGAGAGTATTAGGGGGAAAAAGATGTGTTTTCAGTGGAGCAATCCTCGACTTAACACCCACAACTGAGCCCCAAATTTCCATTATGAAGCGAGGTAGTTGTTTAAGTGAGTTTTGCCTCATTTTATGACTTTTTTTTAAAAAAGTGAATCGCTGCAGTTGTTAAAGTGAATAGTTTCCCCTATTGACTCTGCTTGCTGAACGCCGGCTGGGAAGGATGCAAATGGGGATCACATGTGCCCCGGGACACTGCAAGCGTCATAAATGTGAGTCAGTTGCCAAGTGTCTGAATTTTGATAAAACCCTAGTAAGGCCACACCTGGAATACTGCAGCCAACTTTGGTCACCATATCACAAAAAAGATGTTGAGAGTTTGGAAAAAATTCAGAGAATAGCAACTAAGATGATCAAAGGCCTGGAGACCAAAACATACGAAGAACGGCTATGGGACTTGTGTTTGGCTAGTCTAAAGAAAAGAAGAAATAGGGGAGACATGATAGCAGTATTACGGTATTTGAGGGGCTGCCACAAAGAAGAGGGGGTCAAATTCTTCTCCAAAGCACCAGAGGGCAGGACAAGAAACAATGGTTGGAAACTGATCAAAGAGAGAAGCAACCTGGAATTAAGGAGAAACTTCCTGACAGTGAGGACAATTAACCAATGGAACAGCTTTGCCTCCAGAAATCGTGGGTGCTCCCTCACTGGAGGTTTTTAAGAAGAGACTGGACAATCACCTGTCTGAAATGGTGTAGGTTCTCCTGCTTGAACAGGGGGCTGGACTAGAAGACCTCCAAGGTCCCTCCCAGCTCTATTCTATTCTAATTCTAACTGGGACCATGCAACGGTCTTACGTGTGAAAGACAGTCATGTCCCTTTTTCAGTCGCGCTGTAACTTCAAACGGTCACTAAATGAACGGTTGTTGAGGATGACCTCTGCAAGGAGACTGTCAACGAAGGAGGCACTGAAGGGACCTATTTCAAACCTATTTATAAAAGAAACTCTTACCATTTCTAGTCAAGATGTCGTCGTATACCGGGCACACCCCGTAGTACAGCAGAGGCTCTTTGGAGGGAATCTGGGAGCGAAGAGGGGAGCCGTTCGCTTCCCGCATCAGGGCTTCCTCCTCAGGCGGGTTCAGACCCATGCCATAGCCAAAATCGCCCTCCTCGGGGGAGGCAAGGTGGCCGTTCGTTTTCCCAGGTTCTGGCTGGTTCCCGTCAGCCGCAGCAGTTTCCGGGAGGCCGTTGTAAACGGGAGCCGTGGCCTCCAAGGGTCCCTGCTGTTCCCATAAAGCCTGGGCCAATCTTTTCTCAAAAATGGACCTGGTGGTCAGCGTGATGGGCCCGCACTTCAGGCCGGCTTTGACAATTTCTTCTCTCAGCTCATCGGGGGTCAGTTGTTTTAGTCGGGAGAAGATTTCGTCCATTGTTATCCTCCCTGTAGGCAAAATAAAACAAAAAAAACAAAAAAAGCAGAGGGCATTGTTTAGTCCATCAGAAATACAGCTAAGCTCTTGACTTACCACAGTTCGTTTGGTGACCGAAGTTACAACAGCACTGACTTATGACCGTTTTTCACACACTCACAACCCGTTGCGGCATCTCCAAGAGTCACATGATCAACAATCAGAGGCTTGGCAACTGGCTCGTATTTAGGACTCAAAGTCCCGGGGTTCAAGTGATCAACCTTTGCCAACAAAGTCTATGGGGGGGGAACCAGATTCCCTTAACAACCATGTTACCCACTTAACAACTGCAGTGATTCATTAACAACTGTGGCAAGAAAGGTCGTAGAATGGGGTAAATTTTGCTTAACAAATGTCTCACTTCGCAAACAGAAATTTTGGGCTCAAAATACGGGCCGAGTCAAAAGAAGGATTGGTCCGTTGTGTTCCACATTGGTTGGGTCTGTGTTTTTCAACTTTGCCCACTTTAAAATGCGAGGACACCAATTCCCAGAATTCCCCAGCCAGCATGCTGATGAGCTTAGACAACCCCCCGTCCACAGGACACCAGACTTAAAAGAAAGGAAAAAAAACCTCTAGATAAGAGCAGTTTGATGATAAGCTCTGTTACAGCAGGATTGAAACACATTTAATAACTAATTAAACATGTTCAATCTTCAAAGTTACTGTAGCGTTAAAAAAAATCAGACCATTAATCTTAATCTATTTCTGTTTTAGCACAGGGTCTAATGTTAGCAGCCAGCATTATTCTAGATTTTAATCATTAAGCATCTGGCAGAATGCTTAAATCCACTTCTGCTCCCTTATTTAAAAATAGCACGAAGTAAGAGCAAAATCTCAGCCCTAAAAGGGAAGCTGCCTCGGACGACTAGAAATAGACATAAATAAAAACAGAACGTTTCAGTGGAGTATTAAATTTAGTGGGTATATTAAATTTACCCCTATTTTAGAAGAGAAAATGGCTAGCAACTTTCCACAAAATCATGGGTTTTGAAAGCAGATTGGTTTCTTTTAAAATGGAAAATAAATTTGGCCCTCCTGCCAGAAAATTCTTTTAGGGTTTTTTCCTCTGTATTGTTTCAAATCGAATACAGGTGCTGCTAAAGAAATGCTAATTTAACATGTATTTAGTACAGGGGTCTTCAAACTTGGCCCTTTTATGACTTGTGGACTTCAACTCTCAGAATTCCTCAGCCAGGCATGCTGGCTGAGGAATTCTGGGAGTTGAAGTCCACAAGTCATAAAAGGGCCAAGTTTGAAGACCCCTGATTTAGTACCTTCTTGGGGAGCCTAAATACTTCAGACATTAATCTAACCGAAATCTCAAGTCATCTTGAAACAGTTCCTCTGGATTATATACATCTTTGCATTTAACGGAATCTGAAAGGGTTATCCTAGAATATTTAGACATCTTTGCAAATGTTATTACTGTTGATCACAAATGGAGAATACCATACTTTTAATCTAAATATATAAATACATATTGCTTTCATGTCATCGATCACATTGGGTGCAACAGTAAAATCACTATCCAGAAAGCAACCGTTTGCTAGTGACTCAAACAGTCTGAATAAATATTTGTTGGGAATGCTTTAATTAATCAAATTTCTCCAGGGAACTCAGATTTGATTTTATATCCAAGCATGTTTGGCTTTCCCAGGAAAAAGTACCAGCTGGAAAAGACATGGCTTTGATGTAAAACCAAAACAAATACAAGAGGACAGAAATAATACCGGTAACTATTTTTATGCACAAATTATTATTATTTTCTTATTCTGCTTCTATGTTACCAAATCTAAACAACTGTGTTTAGTGAGCCTAAGAATCTAAATTGGAACTACCATGGAGAAAGTGTCTTTTCTTTTTGCTTCAAAAACTCTGCATTTCCATTTGAATATTCCTTAAATACGAAGCTCCTTAGAATCACTTGACATTTGGGCAGTCCCATCTGCCTACATCGCGATAATCTGTGCATCCCCAGAGGCTTCATACCCAAAATAAATATAGCATGGGAATTCACAGAGGGGGACCAAGTGATGGCACAGGCATCCTGACAACTGGCAAATGATGCAATTTGTGTAGTTGCATCAGATGTCATAATTGCCATCTTTTTTTTTTTTTTGCATCGATAGCTGGTCGTGGATGTTGCGGGATACAAACAACAAGAGAAGAGGAGGAGCAGGAGGGAGAGGAAAGGGTAATTTTATGCCACATTTTTAACAGGCATGTTTTAGGTAGTGTGTGATTCACTGTGTATTTTATCTGCTCATTTGCATCCCGCTTTTATTATTTTTATAAAAAACCAAGGCAGCAGACATATCCAACACATTTTCTTTCTCCTATTTTCTCTACAACAATCCTGTGAATTGGGTTGAGAGGGACTGGGCCAAAGTCACCTAGCTGATTTTTATGCCTAAGGCGAGACTAGAATTCACAGTCTCCTGGGCGATTGGCCCAGAGTCACCCAGTTGGTCTTTCATACATAAGGCAGAACTAGAACTCACCACCTCTGGCTTTCTAGCCTTTTGCCTTAACCATTAAACCAAACTGTTTAGGTGGGATTATGGCCAGGGACGGCTCTTCTTCAGATGGTTTACAGCAAAACTGTGAAATAGCAGAAATGAGCTATAGAGGTACAGAGCAGAAATGTGTGTGTGCACACCTACAGGTATAGGGTCTGCTGCTTGAGCAGGGGGTTGGACTAGAGGACCTCCCGGGTCCCTTCCAGCTCTGTTATTCTATTAAACGTGCAACAGAGGCTTCCCAAAGGTTCAGGACAACTCACCCCAAAGCCCATTCAGGCCATAGGAGAACAGCAGCCTGGCCTTCTGCTTGGCTCACCTGCTCCTCCAGGCTTACCTGGTGGTCTCCCATCCCTACAGCCTTTCTTTTCTCTTTTTCTCTCTCTCTCTCTCTCTCTATATATATATATTAGCAAACCTCTCGCCCCCCCACCTTTGGATCGCAAGACCCCCCCTCTGGGGTGACTACAGCGCCCATCATCCCCAGCGCGGGGGAGTCCAAGGCGCCCCCCCCAAGCGGCCTACCTGGCAGGGAGGTGGTCGTGGGAGAAAGACAGCAACCCCGCCCCCCGATCCCCACTCCCCCACCGGGGAAAGGCCTCTCACCTCCGTCGCAGCTGTCGAGGCAGCGCGGAGGCCTCTCCTCGGGAGGCGGCGGCGGAGACGGAGCCCGAGGCGTCGCGCTGGGCCTCAGGCCTCGCCCCCCGCGCGGGCCTCGCTCCAGCAGCCGCAGCAGCCAACCCAGCGCGCCGATGACGGCGCAAGCGGCCAGCAGCTCCCAGGCGGGCCAGCCGGCCCAGCCGGCCCGCCACAACCCGCCCCAGCCCGACCAGCCGGCCGCCACCCAGCGCTCCATCGCCTGCCCGGCCGACCGACCGACCACGCCACTGCGCACGCGCGGGAGCGGCCTCGCGGGGGGACTCCGGGCGGTACCTCGTGAGCGGCTTCCCGGCGCGCCCTTCGCGCGTTCCGCGCAGGCGCGGAGGCGCGCGCGCGGCGCCCTTTCCCTGTCGCTCCAACCGACGTCTGCGCCGAAGTCACCGGCCTCGCTTCGACTCTGCTGAGGGGCCCGGCGCGGACTTCTCCCCGGTTGTTCCCGCAGCCTCGACGGCGAAGCGGGGCCTCGCGCGCGCCCTTGAGAGTTTGAAGGGGGGGGGGAAAAACAAAAGAAAAAGCCTGAGGCGCCGAGGTAACCAATCGCGGCCCGCCACGTCACGCAGGGGGACGGGTGTGTGCCGCGCTGCCTGACGGGAAGCCCTTGTCCGAAATTCGAGGGTTGAGTTCTGCCTTCCCTGCATGAACGGAACAAAAGCCCATCATCCCCGCGAAGCATGGGAAGTGTAGCTCAATCTTGTTGAGGAGCCTTGAGAAAGTAACGGCTTGAGGGCCAGAGAAAGGAGCCGCAGGGAGACACTTCCGGTTTCCGATTGAAGTTGGCCAGGCTGCCACGCAAAGGCTAGAGGTGAGTGGCATAAGCGGAGTCGCATAGAAACCGGAAGTGGGGAGTGCAACGAAGTTCTCTCGGGTTCTGCAAAGCCACGTTGCGCTTGACTCTTTGCTAGCATATGGTTTGCAAATATGTTTGCAAATAAACTGAGTTTTCACAGTTTATTAAAATTCAACTTTCTGGCCAATTTTATCTCTGATCTGTTTTTTTTTTTAGCAGAATCCACTTCTTGTTTTGTTATGTCAAAGAAACAGAAACAACCAAAGGCATTTTCACTATTATTTTCACTATTATTGGAAATAGTTATTTAAAGAGGCCCCTTCTATCAGAATTGTCCTACAGGTAGCCCTGGAACA